TGGGGCTTTGAACCAGGCCCTATCAATTCAGACCTCCAAGGAAGTGGTGACTCACCTTTGGGGCAAGCATGAAAGGAGGTGGAGCTGGAGACGACAGTTCAGACACAAAGAATGTGTGATTGAACCCCAACAACAACTGGACACTAAAGGCTTGGGTGAGATCCCCTAGTTAGTGATACTCTCTGAGTATTGTCACACTTGAATGATGCGACGATAACATGTCCCGGAGCACAGCAATAACTTCCAGTTTGGACACTCGCAGATTCTACCCTATCCATCTCATCTGTCTGGTTCTAATGTGTACCCTTTGCCTGCTATGAGCATTGCTATGAGTGTATCTCTCAAGGAGTTCTGTAAGTCATCATAGTCAATTATTGAACCTAAGGGAGTCTGTTGGGGCCTGAAGTCTTGTAACCAACTAGTTTGAAGTGAAAGTGACCCTGGGGACCCCCAACATTATGGCTGGTGTCTGAAGTGAAAGCAGTCTTGTGGAGAATGCTGCCTCATACCTTGCAGTTTGTCTAACTCATTTGTAAGGGAGTCCTCTCAGCATACAGTATTTAGCAACCTAATAAGGACGGCAGTAGTGCGTGCAGACTCACTGCCAAGTTGGCTCCAAGAAGCCTGAAGAAAATGAGTGCCCAGAATGTATAAAGCTAAAAAGCTTTAATTGCTATAGCAGGTGGTGGAGGAGGAAAAAAAGAAAAACAAATGAGGGGAATACACATACTAGACTAGATATATTAAATGAGGCCACAAGACCCACCAGATAATTTTGTATCATGAAAAGGCCCAGAGGACCACTTACCAAGGCCATCAAGGATACACTGGTAAGAGTGACACCAGCATCATTAGGAAGTTCAGTAGCAACTCTTGGCAGGTTAGACCTGAGAGCAGGAAAGGTCACAGAGTTTGGATGATTAATAGCAAAGGGTAGGACTACCACAAGCCTCGGGGAGATGCAATTTTTGTAATGACTGTCAAGATCAGAGTGACAGCCAAGAGGAGTTTAAGCTGCAGGGTGTTATGGAACCTGATAATGAAACATGGCATCTCTAGGAGTAAAAGCAATAGGTAGCTAAAACGGATACTGTGTAATGCCACCATAATGTTACAGATGATTAAATAAAGCAGTAATGAGGGAACAGGAGGTCAAGAGAAATAACCTAGTAATAGTCATAATACAGTTTCCATAGTTTTGATCTTTTGAACATATAACTGAAGTGATTTCCAGGTCCATAAGAAGAAAGAGCCAGAAGCACCATAGCAACAAGATACTTTAATAATTATACTTTTCTAAGTGTCTATATCTACTTGCATGGATGACAGTGCAATGTTCAATGAAAATCATATGACAATTTAAGAGCTATTGAACACAGGGTCTGAGTTGGCACTGATTCTCAGACACATGAGGTATTATGTCCCCCTGTCTCCATGGTTCTTCTGCTCCAGAATAAAATAAAATAAAAACCTTGCCCAAATCCAGAATTTAGTAGGGTAACTGGTTTAGATAATCTGCCTGGTGGTCATGACCTCTGTCTATGAATCTATAACTAAAAATGTTGTACTGCATAGTAATCTCCTCATTGAGAGCTTGGCCTATGTAGTAAGAGTTATCATAATAGAAAAGGACAAGTGGAAGTTTCTAAGATTTCTTCCAGCCAAGATAGTAAATAAAAAATAATAATGCATAGTGTATCAAGATGGTAGAGATTAGTGCAAACATAAAGATGTAAAGAATGAAGAGGAAAGGGTCTTCGTAATGTCTCCATTTGATTCACAAATCTGGTCCCTGCAGAAACCAGAGGGATTTTGTATACTACCACAAGACCGCAGGTAGTGGTTCCAATAGCATATGCTGTGTCAGTCTTGAAATCATTCTTGTGTAGAACATCACATTGATCCAATGTATTGATGTTATCATGAAGAATGGACAGCATGATCAATAGGTGACTGGCATGATGGAGTCCTTAACAAAATATATGAATTCCAGAGTGTGGAAAATGCACCCTGTGAATATCAAGGATGTGCCATTTCAGTACTATCTTCAGAGGTCCAAATAGTTAAAAATCATCTCTGAAACAAACAAACAAAAATTGTTGCATCTTTCATTCTCTATCATAAAGAACAATGGATAACACCTAGTAAGTATCTTAAGATTCTGGAGGTGATACATTCCACCATTAAGACTACTTCCCCGGCCTATATACCAGGTGTTATGGAAAGCTACTTGCTATGAGTGAGACCTAGAGCAAGGAAGGACTCTGGGAGGTACATGCAGTGGTACAAGCAGCACCCCAACTATATGTGAAGTGTTGGAAGAATCAGTGGTAGCAGAAGATGCACTGTAGAGTTTATAGTAAGCCCTATTGCAGGAGCAGAGCATAAATCCATGGGGTTATAGGTTAATGCCATGTCATTGAAACAGAAAGTTACATGTCTTTAAAAAATAAAAAGCTGTTGGCACGCACCCATTCCTTGATAGAGTCAGAATGCTTTACAGTAAGATACAACTGAATTGTGTCTGGCACTATACATCATGTCTTGTATCCTATCAGACCTTCCAAATAGGCAGGTTCAGTAGATAATTAATTTACGAATAAAAGTAAAACATTTAGAACGGAGCACAAGCAGGACTAGAGGACGTGAGCAAGTCACCAGGATTCCCATGTCACGACATCACTCTTAACTCATGTCGCACTAATGTTTACATAAGAAATCCCTTAAGATCACCTGGAGGTAGATAAAAAAAAATTACCAGCTTGTGTTTATCTGTGGGTTAGTTAAATACATTGGTTCAAGTATATACTAAAGAATGGCTGCATTGTAGGCTCATTTATAGCCTTGAAAGACACATAAAAGGAAAAATCATTCCAATGGTTAAAGCTTTGGCTGGTGGACCAGTTATACACATTGTTTAAAGGAGTGGGTGAAGTTGAGAGTAGTGCTTAATGAGGATAGTTGTTCAAGAGGAAAGAGACTGGAAAGTCAAAGACAGGAGGCCTGAGGTAGAGGCATATTGACTGATAGATGGCAATGGGGACAAACTATGATGATCTTTGTATAACATTAATATACAACAGAAAATGACTACTACAGAAGTACTGCACAACCAAACATATATCCATGACCCAGCCAGGTGATGTTAACCATATTTTAGCAGCAGATACTTAATGCTGGCAAAATGAGCACACAAGTTATGTGTGCACTGCAGCAGAGATGAAGGATATTCAGGAACTCCTTCTTAACAAGGTTGATCTGGCTTTGCTACTTCTAATTGTACAACAGAGAGCAACACAGTGTGCCTGGTATGATCTCCAGGAGATCGACTGTCTCTTAATGTCCTGGAATTGCTATTGATTTGCTCTCATAGGATGGATATTTATTTCAAGTATAGATTTGCTTTGCTTATTTGCTGATCCTCAACCAAGAGCATTATTCCAGAGCTTATGGAGCATGAGTCCATAGCCATGAAATACCCTACAACTGAGTATAAGAGGGGCACCTCAATCAAAATGAAGACAGTTCAGATGGACTCATATTGCAAATGGCACTATTGAGAAACAGCAGTACTAATAGAGTTGGAATGATCTGCTAACGGTACATCTGAAATAGCAGTTTTGAGGCAATACTCTGAGGATAGAGTTCCATTCTCACTGAATTAGAGATATCTGGATATAACTGCATCCTCAGTGGGAACATTCCATAGACCCAGGAACCATGAGGTGAGGGTACCCAATGGTGAATGTATACTTCCCATTTCCAGAACTCTGGGCTCTGCTGGGATAGAGGTCTTGAAGAAAATGTGCTTTTCCTAGCAGGCCAGTAGGCAAGAAAAGAAATCACCATGTTTGCAGGGCGAACTGACCCTGTCTAACAAAAAAGATAGTGCTACTGTTAGAGCATCATGGCAGTGAGGAATACATGGGAAGTGCAGGTGATGCACTGGGCTGTCCATTAGCTCTACCTATGCCCATTTTGAGTATGAGTGGACAAAGATAGGAACTCCTGTTTCAGAAGGATATGATTATTAAGAGATTTGATCCTTAAAATTAAGACTTTTGTTACAGCCCTGAGTCAGTCAAAGCACCAGCAGAAGTGATAGATGAGGATAAGTGAAAATTAGAATGAATAGTGGTGGAGGAATACAATGAGTTGCTGTTCCAGTGCTAACTACAGGAATGAGAGCTGTCATTAGTCTTACTAATCTCTCTCTTTAAATGTACATCTAGGTAAAGACAACCACTGGAACACTGGAGGAGTTTCTGACTGAACACTAGTGAAGAGGTGAAGTTATGGGGCAAACAGAAGACTATATAGCACCCAGATCCTTCTTCAATAAAGAACATACTACAAGTACGGTTAGCTGATAGCCTATGCGTATTAATTCCTCAACATCTGAGCTTAGGTCAGATTTCTTATGATGGTTCCAGGCAATGGATAAGTAAAAATGTGCTAAAAGGGTCTTGCCATTTCCACCCAATACAGGACTCCTCTGGTGGGCAGTCTTTTCTCTAGAGTTTTTGGGTTTAGCTATTAGAGACTTCATCAGATCTGCATGGTCTGTTGGTTCCCCCTACATATTTCTACTGGCTGCCTCTTCCTTTCACAGGTGCTGCTTCCTATATATCTTTACTACTCACCTAGTGCTTGCATTTGTTTTCTGAAAGACCTAACTGATGTAGATGGATTAGTATCGTTTCCGTGATGGTCACTCAAATGGAGCATATTGTAAATTAGTAGGGGTTTCTTTTACAAGATGAAAGATTATCCAACTCCCATGCAAGTTCAGTTATTAGGCAGTCTTCAAATGTTATACTTTGGGAATTGCCAGTTCATATTGAAGCCACACCCTACTGGGGCTGCACTTAGCCAATAACTAGGGGTCCTAGAGACCTGCCCTACCTTCCCATCTTCCCAAATGCAACTCCTCTCATGACTCTTCTAACTCTAGGACTCTCCCTTATCGTGGCTGAAATTTTCTTTTTTTCTTCCCTCTAGAGGGGTGCACCATTCCCAGAAGTACTGCAATATCAAGTCGATGTGTGGAGTGGATGGAGCAAGCTCCTAGTCCATCTCCAATCCCCAAAACCCATCCAATATCTTGTCCTCGGATAGAGGACATATCAGATATTAAACTGACAAGAACAGACACTACACTTGATCTTACCCAAAAGGCCAAGAAGCGCTGTGGCTGAGATTTTCTAAGATCTATACTGCAACTCAATTCTCCTTCCCTACCTCTCCCCTTTCAGGGGAGACAGACCTGCTTTACCGTTTGCTCTTCCTACATGCTCCTAGTGTTGACTCCCCATTATCTTTCACAGGCATTGCCCCCATTACATCTCTTACATTCCCATTACAACTTTTTGTCTGCTTTTCAAAAGCCCAAACAAATACAGAATCCACCCCATTATCATCTTGAACATGTAAATTTTTCTGTACTTAGGTGGAACCACTGTCCATATTTCCTTTTTATTGCACCTCATTTTTTCCCTCTGGAATTGTGTGATATACATCTAATATTCATAATTCTAGAGCAAGGTACTTTAAATACTTATAAAAAAAAACTCTCTTTTTGTATTTATTTATTTATTATAGTAAAATATTCTCTGAAACTGGCCATTTTCTTCTAAATGTATTTTATTTTGGATGGCATTTCTTTAAAAATCTAGCTTGCAAATTGGATTTTACCCTAACTGCATTTTCAGTCTGAGGTTACAGTGGGACCATACAATTCTGCACTCTGTATTCTGTATTTATGTTAATATAGTCTAAGATCACATTTGCATTTTTCACACCATGCAACAGAATCATATAAAAGCTGCAGTCACCCAGAACTCGTGTATTTTTTTTTTTTTTACAAATACTGGTGTAAAGACATTTTCTTCTTTTCATGTTTTTGCAGTTGTTTCTTTGGAACTAAGCCTGATACTTTATATTTATTCTCATTATATTTCATTTAACTCACTTCGGTTCACCTAACTTATCAATACTATTTCTTATCTATTCTGTCATCTAATATACTTACGACTAATATATTCTAAATTAGTTTCACAACCAAATCCACTCACATGCCATCTCTGTCCCAGGAACTGTTATGTGGAACAGAAAAGCCTCTGTTAGCATGTGTTTAGAGACTTTTTTTTTTTTTTTTACAAATCAACATCAATCTATTTAGCAGCAGTTTTGGATTTGGTCATTCATCCAACTATAGATCCATATAACTGTACATTTATTTATTATTGTTGAATCCATAGTTCATTCTGTTTCTTACAAGATTTTCTTTAGACATTTTATCAAAAATATATATTTCATATTATAGTAAATATATGTATTTGATCAAGATGTATCATAAAAATTTCTTCAATTATTTATTTGATAACTGTTGGGAAAAGGAAGAAGCTGTAGGATAGGTGGTGGTGTAAAATGCTAAGTCTCTTTGAATTTGGTTTTTAGCTAGTTTCCTATCACCTCAAAAGTCTCTAAAAAGTACAGGTACAACCATAATAGGGTACACAACTAACAATGGCTAAAGTTTAGAGGAAGAAGTGGGGCTTTTCTTCCCAACCAAATACACCGATCACCTAGCCAAGAAATTCCTTTTCCTAGGCGAGAAGTAAGCTAAAAGAAGAACAAACACTGTATCATTTAATCTATTTGTCCTCTTTCTTACCTAGTTCCCTACTCAGTCTCCACATTTCTATTTAGGAAAAAGAGGTTCTTAACACTAAGTACAAGAATGTTCTTCCACTGGCCAGGGCAGAGCATGTTTTGACCGTCAACCCCATGCTTTCCTGGAATGAGGAAACAGAAGAAACTCGGCCTTTCTTATCTCTGTAACAAGACGTGTTCAAAGAAGCAGTTTCAAAGTTTCTTTCTTTTCACATAGCTCTTTCTACCTTCAATCCTTACTTGGTCTGTTTTACAATATGTTATCTTTTGCATTGATTCTGATCCATGTAAAGAGTTGGTGAAAAGAAAAAATAGTAAAATGGGTAGAGAGAGACATAAAATAACCATGGATTCCCTATGCACACCAACTTTGTTCTTCCTTTAGTAAATCCTGACCTGATGCTTTAACCCATACATTGACAAAGACTTGTTTTTCTTTCTTGCCTTCTATGTGCAGTTGATTATAATATTGCCTCTTTTTTTTTTTAGATTCAATATTTGGTCTAACAGAGTTATTTGGGGTGTACATAATAGAATACCCAACTGACAACTTTTTAAAAAAAAAATAAAAGTACTGGAAACATTCCAAGTGTCCATCAGTAGACGAATGGATAAAAAAGCTGTGGTACATATACACAATGGAGTAATACGTAGCAGTAAGAAAGAAAGATCTCTTATCCTTTGAGACTACATGGAGGGACCTGGAAAGTATCATCCTAAGTGAAACAAGCCAAACAGAGAAAGACAAGTTTCATATGATCTCACTTATTTGTGGAATATAATGAACATAACAGTCTGAGGAATGGAGTAGTCCCAGGGACGTGGAAGTGGGGTACAGACTGACAATCCCCAGAAGAGCAGAGTGGTGGGGGAGAGATAAACCACAGAACTTATATGCATGTATGCATGAACAGTGGACATGGACAACAAACTGGGGAAAGGGCAGGGAGGGAGGGGGAAGGGGGAATCAGTGGGGGAAAAAGGAGAAACATCTGTAACAAAAATTAATTAATAAAAACTAAAAAAAAAAAAAAAGAAAGTACAAAGCAATCACTCATTTTTTAATCTTTTTCTGGATTAAACTTAAAGAATTCTGATTATAATTCATTCAGGCAACTACTATTTGTCTAACCTTATGATTATAACTGAGATCAGTGATTATTGATCAATTCTGATCTTAAAATTTCTGCTCACACAGCTCTGCATTGTGACACAGTTAAAACAGCTGCTGGGGCAGGAAAGCCACCTTTACAGGACAATGTGCAAGGCAGTTTTGTACATTTTGAAAAAAATATTTTATTTTTCCTCCAGAGGCCTGGATGTGAAAATATAAAAATTAACCTGATCTATCAAAAGTGTTTATGTGACAGAATGTATTACTGCAAATTTACCAACATTTAGCTGTATCTAGAAAAAAAAAAGTATGCTTTTTTGGAGTTGATTTTGTGATTTTAAATGTTCTGCTTCATAAAAATAATTGGGAGGTATGTTTGATGTTCTTGCATTATATTTTCCTCTGTTCTGAAGAAAGAAAACATTTTTAAAATAAGTTCATCATAATCATGTTTGAGAGGAACTTAATCTGATACAGGGCCAGATGGAATGTAGATACATTAATATGACTTTAAATATGACCTTTGTTCTAAGGGAGAAAACAAAGAAGGAATTATTTCAGAAGAAAGTCTAGAAAATAAGTGATTAAAAATATGAAGAATTTGTCAAATTGAACTATAAGCTTAAAAGGAAAGCAATTTTCACAACTCGATGGCAATTTTCTTGTCACTTTTAAATGAAGTTAAAAATCTCTATTTTCATGTGTTTTACAACCTTATCAATATTCTATCTTACTTATGTGCCCTAGGTAATACTCAATTAACTTCTGCTCATCCTATTATGCCTACTACCCTAATGGGATAATTTATTTTTATTTTGTTTTTAATTTTAATTTTAATACTTAGTTTACCTGACTACACATAAATTAGTCTTAATGTAGCATTTAACACAAAAGCTGCACATTAATAATGCATTTCAATACTACTTCCATAATAAAAAAATACTCTAGAAAATAAAACTAATTTAAAATGGTAGAAATAAAAAAAATAAAGTTAAATGATAGAATGCAATATTTATTCTAGTGTATTTTTAAATTAACTAGACATTTGAGCTGCTTAACATAAATATATATATTTTCAAACCTTGTATATTGGAATTTGATGAAGAAATACTATTTCTTAATTCCATTATCAAAATGAATTCAGAATAATATAAAGCAATTGGTTTAAAAACAAACAAAAATAAACACTTTAAAAAATTATCAGTGCAAGAAATCTTATCAAGGTTCATTTACTATTTCTACTAAAGTTGGTATTTTGAATTAAATTATTATTTTTTTAACAATATGAGAATATCTAAAACAAGTTTTTTCAACTTTAGCACTGCTGTTATTTTGGACTGGATACTTTTTTTTAATTTTTTTATCCTCACCTGAGGACATTTTTGCATTTATCTTGAGATAGAGTGGGAGGGAGGGGGGGGGAGAGAAACATTGATGTGAGAGAGACACATCAAATGGCTGCCAACCACACAACCCCAACGGGGCCGGGGACGAACCGCAACCGAGCTATATGCCCTTAGCGGGAACTGAACCCAGCCCTCTTTGGTCGACGAGCTGACGCTCCAACCGCTGAGCAAAACCGGCCAGGGCTTGATACTTCTTAATTGTTGCAGCTGCTCTGTGGATTGTCACATCAACCCCAGTTGTGGCCATTTAAAATGTCTCCAGATGTTGCCAAATGATTTTTGGAGTGTGTGTGTGTGCGTTCTTGTGGGATGGTTATTGTGGATTGAGAATCACTGACCTAAAATAATTAAATTCTGAATATACACAAGTGGTTTTATGATTTTCATAGGTTATATTTCAAACTATCCAACTAATTTTATAACATATACTCAATGTTTTTAAAGAAATCTACATTTCAATTTGAATTAACTTTACTATATTTTATGAAGGTAATCACTTGTAGAAAGTGTAATGTGTATTAAGGATCAAATTTCAGGATAAGAAAGTAGCAAGAGCAATAAAAAAGTTGATTATGAGAAAATGGCAATAGTTTCTCAAACATAGTAGGAAGAAAACACAATTATGGAAGGAACGTATAACACTTTTTTCATAGATGCCTTTCTTCCATAATAAATTTGGTGAGCTGACAAAGATAAAAATAAACACAAAGGGAAATGCTACTGTGTGTGTGTGTATATATATATATATCAGCATGAGATACAATATATATATATAATACATAATATATATCAATATCAAAACAACATTTTCCAAGGCAAATATAAATTTTTTCCTAAAGATATAAAAGGTCACATAAAATAAATGACAAACTTATAACATGGCTGAGAAGTCAAAATTATAGTTCACCACTGCAAATTGAAAATTCAAATTTTTCTTGTAGTTTGTTTCCCTGTTCAGTCATCAACCTGCTTGAGAAAGACATGCAGCAGAATCC